GGCAGGCAGGCCGCGCGCAGGCAGGCGCACGGGGGCGTGGCGGGGCGCCGGCGGGGCCGCCAGCCGCCTCCTCGCGCTGCCACAGCACACGCACACGCACACACACAGACACAGACACACACACACACACACACACACACAGGCGCCCAGCGCCGCCGCCCTCACCTGAAGGGCGTGTTGCGCCACTCCGCCATGACAAGGTCCTCCACGTCAAAGCCGCCCAGCGCCGCCGCCGACTCGTTGTTGGCCTCAGCAGACACGCCGCCCACTGCGTGTGTGTGGGGGGTGGGGCAGGGGCGTCGCCTGGGGGCGGCGGAGAGCGGGAGCGGTCATCGGCGGCCATCGGCCAGCGGCAGCACCCGCCAAGCAGCTGGCCGCCCCGCCAGCCAGCCACCCACGCCACACCACCCACCCACCAACACCCCAGCCCCCACCCACCGGCGTCAAACGTCAGCGGCTGCAGCGTCTGGAGCTTGACGTCTGCGCGGGGGGCAGGGGGGCGGGGGCATGCGGGTGGGGTGAGCCGCGCGGCGGCAGCTGGCCCCAGGCAGGCCCATGGCGGCACCATCACAGACCGCTTGCCCCCCGCCATGCGTGCGCTGCTTTTGGGAGGCTGCCGCCTGCACGCACAGTCTGCCACTGTGCCCATGTATCCGTGCGCGGCAGGGAAGCCGTAGGCGGCCCGGCTGTGCATGGCGGCACACAGCATGTCCTGTGGCGGCATGGGGCGGCATGGTGTGAACAGGTGGGCAGGTGGGCAGGTGGGGAGGGGGGGCAGGGACGCCGGCGTGTCAGCGGCGGCATCCCTGCCAGGGACGGGGGTGCGGTCGGCGGGCCACGCCAGGCGGCGGCGCACACCTGCAGCAGCGTGCGGCCCTCCCGCAGCTGGCTGGGCGGCGGCGGCTGGTCAGCGGTGAACAGGCGGCGCTCGTAGGCCTGGGCCTGCGGCAGGGGGGCGGTACTGGGCGGTACTGGGCGGTACTGGGCGGCGGTGGGGGCGGGGGCCACGGCTGGCAGCAAGCAGGAGCCGCCCCGCCAGCTGACCCGCCGCAAGCAGGCCTCCACCCTCCTCCACCCACACCCACCCACCCACACCCACACACACCTGCAGCTCCTGGTACACCCGCTGGTGCTTCTGGTAGAGCAGGAACAGGGCGGCGGGGTCCCAGGGCAGCAGCGTCCAGATGGGGCGGCGCCTGCAAGCGGGGGGGAGGGGGGGGTG